CCTCCAAGTAATGATTGTTGCTGACATTTTCATGCTTTATTTTTAATTGATACAGCTAATAATGCCAATGAGGTAAGAATGACAATGGTTTAAGCATACCAGTGGCAATAGAGGAGAGCATTGAGTCGGCAGCAGCCCTGCTGGGCATCCATCCTCCCTCGTTTTTCCCAGATGAGGATCCGAGGCCCTCCAAGCCTCAGAGTTCCTCCTCCCACCACAGGGAACACCATGCAGAAGGGACCTTTAGGAGGCACAAACCACCACCGAGAGAAGTAGTTGGGGAAAAGCTTCCCTTGCCTGACCCTTGGGGAAGGGTGCAGTAGTTCGGCTCCAGTGCACCCGGTGTTAGAGCACTGCTTGGGAATGTACCAGGAGGAAAAGCAAAAAGCAGCTTCCTCTTTAATTCTTGACATAGAATTAACCCAACCCAGATTGTCCTCATAAAAGTTAGTATGGACTTGTGCTTCGATTTAGGGGGCCTGCTGCTGGATTTATTTGGCGTGTGAGTAATTAAAGCCTCTAGACTTGCTGATTCAGTCCTAGTTATGACCCTGATTTGATCACTGTATTGTTCCATTCCTAATCCTTTAGTGAGGTTAGAGCAGGTTAATCTTAGTGAAATGTTTGCTTAATTCCACCCCTGCTCATTTGTTCTCTTAATAAAATCTGCATAAAGAATGGAGAAACAGTAATTCTTTCAGCTTGTTCCAATTATTCTGAGAGCAAAGCTAATTCAGTTGAAGCAGCTTAAGAGCAACTTGATTGTGTTTCTACAGTTGAGGCTCTGTGCCAACAGATGAGGCACCTCCTCTTCTCCCAAGCCATGTTGATATGTTCCTCTGGTTAAAATATGGAACCTGCCCATGTCTGGCTCTTGGATGTTGCATGACTTTTCCTCTAGTCTTACTCCTTGCTGCTCACTCCTTCCAGGCTGTGTTTCTGCCTCTTTTGCTCCTCTTCTGGACTGTTGTTTCTCCCATGGCCCATTAGCAAAGCAGAACAAATGGAACTGAGTGTATGGGTGTTCACCACATCCATTGTGAGAAGCAAAAGGCTTTTTCTTTTGGATGTATCTTATCAGAAAGGTTTTTCTATTGACTGTCTCACCAGACAGGATTTGTGGTTAAATGTTCATTTGGTGCAACCAATATGGTTATCCTTATGGTCCTCTGTGATTGGCAGTGAGGCATCCCATTTTTACAGGTGTGAATGGTCCTGAAAACCAGAGATCTAGATATCTCTTGTGATGTCTGTGAATACAGAGGTGGGTAAGAAGACCACTCCAGCATCTGGGAAAGCAGGGCAGTGATGTGGGAGAGTTGCTTTGTGGTGACTGGTTTTGCCAGAGGATCTTTCTCAGCTGACACATCTTTAGCACACAGAGGGAACACCAGATGCCAAACTGCACGCAAGCACAAGCCAAGTCTCACCCCTTATCACCTGTGGATGGTAGGCAGGGATCGGTGGGCAGCAGGGTAAAGCCTTTTTCTGCTATGCTAGCTGTCCAGCAAGTCTAGGGTAGGGATTATACTGTGGGCAGGAGGGGTGTCTTCATCACTCTGTGCCACACAACTTGCTCCATAGCAGCATGCAGGGGCGAGGAACTAGAAGAGACTATGGGAAGAGAAACACAGCTAGGGGGTCCGAAGAGATCTCAGACCAAAGAATTGTATATGCAGTGAGCTCTAGGAAAGTCTCTGGAACATATTCCACTTTTCCTGAAAGCCTTTCTCCTTTTCACTCAGTCTGCATGAGATGACCCTATCTGTGAATGTACTGAGGAAGTTACACTTAGGCGTCTTCCTCTGGAGTAGAAATACTGAATAACATGGCATCCATAAGGGATACATTACTTCTCAGAAGAGCATGATAGATGGATATGTTGCCAAAAGGCAAGAAAAGGGTGAAAAAATGTATCTAAATGGAAATAAAAGAATCTAAAATTTAACCTGAGCAGGGGGTATCTGTATGGACTGCAGCCCCTGACTGTCACAGCAAGCGTTCAGCAAATGTCAGAGTGGTCGGATCAGAGAGAGAACTAGAATTGTTCTTATTCTCTGCTACATGCAGCCTCTCCCTAGAAATTAAAGCTGATTTAATTTTATGATACCTTGAGGGGCCAAATCCAATCTGAACATTATTACAGTATTGGGACGACTCAGCCATAGAAGCTCTCTTTTTCTCTTTTTTTCCATCCACACTTCCAAACTTCACCAAAGGTGAAGCTGTGGTGTCTGAGCTTGTGCTGGCTTCATTGTGCTGGGTGGGGATTCACTCTGGTACCTCAGGGAGATGCTCACAGATGGGCAAGGTGGCTCTTTGCCTGGAAGAGGAGGCCTGGCTGAGGTGTACTAACAAAGTAATAAAGGCCTCAAAATAGGCAAGATGATCACAAGAAAAGGTTCAAAGCAGCATGACGATCAGTGGGTTCTGAACAACAGGGAGCTCCGGCCGCAGTGAAGAGAAAACAATAACATATTGGCAGTGGCACTTTGCTGCCAGGAATGATGCTTTACAGACCACGGGAGAAATCTCTCAAACGTGCTTTGACTTCTGCTCTTGTTTGGTGAGCCAAGTCACAAGTCCTTTCCTTGCTTTTTACTTGCATCATGCCTTAAAGCATTACAGAAGAGTGAAAAAAACGATTCAAGTCCTTAGAAGAGAGGGTAGAATAGTATTAAACAGGTTTTCATTTGGGGGGGAACATGTTTTCATTTGGGG